TATATTCTAAATTAAATCATGCAATTAATAAAGGTAATAGCCGCAATATTGGACCAAAATGATTTTGTACATTAATTTAGGCGGGATTTTCAAATTTTTGCCAAAAATATTACTCAATATAGTAAATACTTTAGGTGGTAAACTAAAGTTTTTTTTTTTTTTTTTGCTGATTTTTAGTTGCTATTTCAAGTAATTATCATTGCCTCTTTTATATATTAATAGATATAATACAAACCAAAAAAGTTATAAAAGTGCAAAAATAAGAAGAATACATTTATAATAATTGATGTATGGATTAAATAAGAAAATAAAATTTAATATATGATAATGTAGGAAAAAGAAATTTATAATAATTTATGGTAAGTAATTGTAGAATAAAATAAGGAAGATATCAATTAGAATTTAATATAAATGATATAGACATTAAATGAAATTCAAACCTACTTATTTTGTATAAAAAATATTAATTTATATCCAAGCCTGACTCCGAAACACAATTTTTTGCCACATAGGATTCTGAAGCGTGAGAGCATGCCACTTAGGGTCAATGCATTCTGAAATTATATATAAGGTGGATATAGAATAAAAATAAGGGAATAAGGAAGAACCGATAACTTAAGAGCTTCTACTTTCTCAATTTTGCTATGAAGCCAGCAGTTGGCTCCATAGTGAAGCCAACATTCTATTTACAACAAGTATACTATCAGTAATGCTAAGGAGCCAACTATTGGCTTCGTAACAGAGCCAACAGTTGGCTCCTTAGCATTACTGAGTAAAGTATACCATATTTTCTGATTACTTAAGTAAATACTAATAATTTTATTAATATGCTATGATTTACTTGTTGTACATAAAAGGTTGACTCCACTATAAAACCAACTGTTGCTTCATTGCAAAACTGTCTACTTTCTTTTGGGTTCATTAGTTTTCTAGTGTGTTAACTAAAGCGAAAAGCAGTCTGTAATTAATTCAACTACTTATTACTTTAGGAAAATTGTTAATCCTCGTTCCCATATTTTCCTCATTTTTACCTTAGTCATATTGGTAACCAACTAGTGTGTACCCCGTGCGATGCACGGGAACAATATTAAATTAACAATATTATAAATAGACCTCGAGTCTGAGTCAATGGCAGAAGTGAAAACTATTATTGATCGTATTTAAAAAGAGGAAAAAAAATAATTATAAATAAAAGAAGAGGATAAACAATACTTAATAATTATTAATTAAAGATTCGGGGTCAAACAATGTAAAATGATTTTGTATAAAAGAATATAAAAAAATTTGATTACACACCATTTCAAAATTATCATTATACTTTTTTGTATGGTTAGCTTAGAATATTTGTAAAAATATTAGTAATTAGACCGATGAAAATTAGCTTCTTAAAGTAGATAATAGATTTCTAGTAGTAATTATGAATTGGTTTCTATTTTATTTTATTTTTTCTTTTTAAAGATAATGGATTTCTAGTAGTAATTATGAATTGATTTCTATTTTATTTTATTTTTTCAAATCTGTATAGATAAGAGTTGAGATTTTCTAAACACCTAAAATCGTATGCAATCGGATTTTGTAACAGAAGAGATAAACTTGTGTAGATTTATAATAAAATAGGAAAAAAAAAAAAACAAATATTTATTGTTAAAACGATATACTAAGAAACAGGAAAAAGAGAAACAAATCTTTACACAATTAATGAGCGGATTTTTTTGCCTATTCAGATTTGTCCAACAATTACTATATATAGGATATATTTAATGATTTTGGTGGGAAAAAGTTTCTAAATTTGTAAAAAGGTTATTCTTTATACATAATGATAGATTACGGATATCCACAAGTTTGTCAACGCGTGCCAAAAGCCGATGATGATGCATTAGGAAAAACTACTTTAACTCAAAGGAAGAGTTACTGAAAATTAAGGTAATTAAATTAAGGGACAAGATTTTTCATCATAAAATGGTGGTGTTAATTAAATTGACTAGTTTTTAACCCGTGCATTGGCATGGAAAGCAATATAATAGAACAAAAAATAATAAGAAGATATAAACAATAGTAAAAATCATAATATAATAATTGGAAAATGTTCTAAGAAAGAATAACTAAATATTGTTAAACAATTCCTTATATACAAAGTTTGTGGTTTTTCTATCAACAGAATTTCCATCACTACAAATCACTATCTTCAAATTAAGACATATAATGGTTTTATTTGTTTAAATAGTTATTATATTTTGTACTATAGATCATATAGGAAATTTAAAAAAAAATACTAAAAAAATACCAGCAAAATATTACAAAATAAATAATTGTATTTGGTTGATAAATAATGATATGTGCCAAATATTTAAGACATTTGAACAAAATGGCAATTTTTTATCATAAAGAAATATATTGATTGAATGATAAAAAAAAAGCCCAAATTAGAATTGCACTTAATTTTTTAGGGTAGCCAAAATCAAATATAAAACAGGTCAATGATAACATGGTTATAAATAGAGATAAACTCCTTGAGAGATGTAAGCCATTTTTTTTTTGTTGATGTCGGCGCTTCTCTCGTTATTCCCTCTGTCTGAAACCCTAATCCTTAACCCGATCTTACGACAAACTCGGCGAGATTCAATACAAAAGAACTGTTTTACCGGAGATTTTCTCCCGGTAAAGGCTTAAAAATTTTTAAAAAAAAAATCCGAGAAATGTTGTTTTTGTGGCCAACAGTAGTGATCGAAAAATAAATATTCGTTCCCGATTTCTTAATCTGTGTTGCTAAATCTTAACAGGTCGGTCAAAATCGGGCGATAATATTACAAATCTATGAAGAGCTGAAATATTTTTTGTTAAACGTAGTTTTTATTTTTTATTATTTTTAATGATCTGTGTCGTTTTTCGAAATTCTTTGTGAATAAGCTTCAAAGATAGATCATATTTTATACATAATTCGAAATTATTTAGATATTTTTCGAAATCGTTTTTCGAAGAGAACATGACATTAGTCGAACTTTTTCAAACTTTTATGTATTTTGTTCAGGGTTTGAAAAAATAGGTAAGTTTCTAACAGATCTTTTCAGCTCTGCTAACAAATATATAGGTAAGTTTATAACATATCTGTTCATATCTGTTTATAACATACATATGTAACTTTTATGTATTTCGTTCAGATTTTGAACACTAAATAGTTCAATTCTTTCTCGTCTTTCTCATCATATCAGTAAGTGAAGCTTTGCTAACACTTGTTCAAAATCGCTTTTCGAAGTTGTTCAAAGTCTTTTGCCGAAGTTTTTCAAAGTTTTTAGTATTTTGTTCAAAATTTGGAAATATTAGGTAAGTTTATAACAAATCTGTTTAGATATATTTATCGCATATTAGGAATTTCTTGTTTAATGTATAGAAGAATCTGTAGGAATTTTTATTTTGAAAACTGTTACGCAAAAAATCGATTTTAATGTAAAGGCAGATGTCTTGGTAAAAGTTGAATGTGTTGATAATGATAGGGAAATCAAATTATTTTTCTTTCTATATTGTATAGTGTCCAATAATGTTCCACATAATTTGCTGTATTTTTAATTTTGATTTTTTCATATAGATTTGACTTTTTTTGTTGATTATTAATTATGCGTGATATTTCTATATTATGCAACAATCTGTCATTACATATAATGTCTTGTCAATCCTCATTCTTTGACTTTGCCAATTTCCGTTTAATATGACTTTTCTATTGCTGAAAGTATGGTTTTAATGCATTAAAATATTGATGTTTTGGATATGTTTTGATGCTATAATCATGCAGAAATTTGTCCAGCCACTTTTTTCTTAAAGAGAAATTGTTTAATGAAAATTAATCATATTTATATTTATAATTGTGAAATAATATTTTTTTTCACGACCAACAGTTTTTTTTTAATGAAAAATATGAGACAATTTATTCAACTCACTTTTTAATTTATAAAACAGAATGTTGATTGCGATAATCAAATCTGCAGAAATCATGCATTTATGTAGTAATATAAAATTTTTATTATTACTACCAAATGGAAAGTCAAAGATAGTTAATTTTGCACTATTAATTATGATCATATGGATTTTTTTTATGCATACGTTTTTTCAATATACTTTTTAAATGATAATATTGACAATATAGACTTTGTTATAATAATTATATAGACTGTGCTATAATAATAATTTATTTATTTAATTCATTATTTTCTTAATTCATCTTATTATGTGTATAGTCTAAGTTTATAAATTATATGTCATTTAAATGTATCTATACTACTAAGTTATAAGGTTAATTTTACCATTTGGGGGAGCTAAATTTTTAATTTAATTATGAAACTAATCTTTCTTATCATTTTGCAGCTATATGTTTGATGGAGTATGGCTGGAAATTAAACTACAAAAAAAAGAAATAATTTCATTTTTTATATTGTAATGTAACATGATCTGTATTATAATGTTTGTATTTAATACATTTATTAATATTTTTTATAACTGTAATTGCTTATTCAATTCATAATGGAATAATAAAAATAATAATATATAGTTTCTGCACAACAATAATGACTGCCACGTTTATATATATAAATGAGAATAAGAAACATAAATATGGGATTAACTAAAAGACATCTTTTTAATTTAGCCATTAACTAATTAGGTTTAACTTAAAGAAACCTTCTTAAATGTGAGATTATTGTGTAATTAACTAAAAAAAATGTATTCCTTTTGGAGGGAAAGTGAAAATGCTTTTATTAAATGTTTTATTAAATGAGATTAGCTAGTAATTATATATATATAGATTTGTAGCATTTAAGTGAAAAGGCAAACGTTTTTAATCATATTATTATTTTCTTGTTTTCATGTATAGAGAATGATAATTTAATACCTAACTACCTAACTGCCCTATTCCTCAAACAGGAAACCAATTTGGCTAACAAAGTTTTTAACATATGGAGTTGTGGGGAAAATGGAATGTAGAATCAAATTACAATCATTAGACATGATAATAAAAGAATATCAAAGATGATCTTGTTTAATGTTTAGTGATGTTCAATTGTTTTTGTGCTCATGTTGGGCCTTATCCAGCTAGTAGAATGACAACTATCAAAATTGTATCAATCATTCCATGAGAAAAACTTTTCAACAAGCTAGCCCAAATATATGACAAACCATATAGATAATGCCCACTCATTTTCTTTTATTCTCATGGTACGTATATTCTATATCATACACTCACCTCCATCTCCACCAAAAAGGAGAATTCAAAGAAAAAATAAAATAAAAAAAACTAGCTACTATATTAATATGTATAACTACAACTTATATATCTCCTAATCCAAAAACGTTTTCAAGCAATATTAATTGCAAGAATCGTCCAAAGGCGTCAATTTGATTTGAACTCCATACTTAGGCTTCATGGTGAGGACAACTACTGGCGCGTGCCGGTAATTCTCCGAGATTGTAAAGCTGAATTTTGATATCATCATGGCCAATATAATCTTGGCCTCCATCATTGCAAAGGATTGGCCCACACAGTTCCTGGGCCCAGCTGCAAAGGGGATGAAACTACGGCCCGGCCCACCAGACTTGGATGCGAATCTACTTGGATTGAATTCATTTACATCTTTGCCCCAAATTTCCTCATTATGATGGATTGCAAGAACTGGAATCCATATCGAGAGCCCCTTTGGAATGTGAAGATCACCCAATTTTATGTCTTCGAATGCCATCCGAGGGAGGAGAGAGGCCGGAGGATATAGCCTGAGTGACTCGTTGATCACCATATTTAGCTGCATTAATAAAAAAAAAAAAAAATTGTTATTTTTTAGTCAAATATTGGTGATTTTTATATAATGCTATGATTATTACAAAGTTGTATCAACAATGACATTCACAATCACTCCATGCATGTTTAACTTTAATTATGACCCACTTGATCATGATCTACTTAATTTTCCATTCACAATTAATGATTTAATTATAAATTTTAAAATTCAAAGATGTGTTATCTTTTATGTTATCATTTACTAATCTTCAATTAGTCATAGGATGTTATGATTTAACACATGAGAATCAAAAGCTTTAATGGAAGTTAATTAAATTGGTGGAACAAAACAAGTTTTGTTACTATAACAAGGCAGTAGGAATAAGATATTGCACACAACTTTTCGGTGAAAACGATAGAGAAATCCAGCTCACTCTGTTCAAAGTGCTCAGTCGTCGATATTAATTACTCAATTAATATTTAAGCGCCAAATAGACATTTATTTATTTCGGGTCATTAAAACAAAAAAGGAGGTGCGCCGTGTGGACCTCGTTTCCTTGCATTTCAGGCCGATTATTATAATATCATTAACCTACGTGATAATTAAACAAATCTTTGCGCAAAATAACTATCTTTAAGATTATTTATCACGTTTCTAATTACAGCTGCTGTAATAATAATAAATAATATATATATTTGCAGTAAAAAANTTACTCACCACAGTGAATTTTGAGAGGTGGTCAACGCCAGGATGAGCGCCTTTGCAAACTTGTTTGACCTCTTCTCTAACCTTCTCCTGCCACTCTGGATTTGTGGCGAGGAGCATCATTGTCCACGTCAGCAAGAGTGCTGTTGTTTCATGGCCGGCAAAGAAGAAGGTCTTGCATTCGTCCATGATCAGTTGCAAGTTAAGGCTGAAGCCGTTGTCTGACCGTTTTTTCTGCATCTCGGTTAAAAGTGTGCCGAGTAAGTCATTTCCGTAAGACGTGCTTCGGCCGACCTCAACACAGTTTGTTCGGCTCTCGATGATCTCCATCAGCTTCTTCTCCACCTCAATTTTTAGCGATTTTATCTCCCGGTTGTATTTGCTTGGAAAAAATCTGCACAAAAATCCATAAATAATTTATTATTATGGTAAAATTTTGGACTTTTAACAACTTTTTTACGATGTTTTATGCGTTAAGCATGGGATGTGCTTGGAAAACAGGGGAAGGGGGGAATAATAATAATAATAATAATAATAATAATAATAATAATAATGATGAATCGTAAAAAAGAGTCAACTGAAATTTTTAAAGTTAAAAGAAAAAAGTTAAATGGTGAAGTGTGGAATCAGGTAAAAAGTGAAGAAAATCTTGTCTTTTTCATGAAAAAGAGATGAGATGGCCTTTTTTGTCATGGAACAGAGAAGATTCACAAAATCCAGTGTCATCATATGGGGTGAGAAACTAAAGAAAAGGTAATTAAAAGTTAAAAAAAAAAAAGTAAAATTTTTTTAAATCCTAACCTGCTGCCGGGAAAGCACAAATAACGGGATGACCGAGCACAGAGGCCTTGCAAAACAGTTAAAAGATGAAATATCTGTTTTCCCTTTTCGTAATTGCTGTCGAATTCCGTACGCGAAATAATATCGGCCGTTAAACGAGTCATATACTCTCCGATCTCGATCTCCGTTTGTCCCGATTTCAGAGCATTCTCGAGCGATTCCAGCATCTCTTTTGTGCTTTCAACCATGTACCCTGCATAACTCTGTATCCATTCCCCCACAAATAAATAAATAAGAAAATAAATAAATAAATTTAAATTTGATTAATTAATGCATGTAAAATTATGATATTTGTGTAGCTACCTTAAGTTTTTCTCCCATGAATGCAGGGGCCACCAAGTGCCTCTGGTGGTACCAATCCTTGCCATTAGCCATCAACAAACCTCGGCCAATGAAATTTTTCGAGCCTTCTTGCTGCATCCACGATTTCCCCGAAATCGTGCTGTATTTAGAAAGGAGCTCTTTAATAAGGTCAGTTTCTGCCAGGCACATTCTCGGTTCCGTCCCATTCCAAAATATAAACCTCTTCCCTAAACGAAACAATAAACCAAAATAAATTAGCATATATCGTTGTTGTTGATGATGAGGATTATGGATTTTGTTAGAATATCACTTGTAAGTTGTCCCACATTGTTTATACAGACAAAACAGGTTGAACTTATAAGTTAGGCCTATTTTGGCTGTATAAACGATGTGGGACAACTCAGCAACAGATTTGATGTTATTTGAATTTAAGGTGGGTACCGTAAGTCTTGGACCAGGCAAGAAAGTGTGGGAGAAGTCGGGGAACAATGTCGTGTGAGATTGAAGGCATGTCTTGGGCTGTTGACTTGGAGATGAATGAAGCCATCTCCATTATGTTGCCTAATAGAAAACGAGGCTCGGGTCCTCGAACACCTTGCTCTTCCATTATTCTCTTGATCCGTCTCGGAGTCAACCAGTAGCAACGTAAGGTCTCGTAAACGATTTTCGACACCAAACATAAGACTAATATGGCTGCTGCATATGCTGCAGATATCATCACTTGTTCCATTTTTGGCTTCTTTCTCTTTCCTTTTTCCTAATTTCTTATATTAATTGCCTACTATAAGGCTGAGTTTGTGTTTGTTGTATCTTAGGGAGGCAGTTTAAGAAGGGACTTGGTTGGGATGATAGAGGAATTGTTTCTGATGGGTGTTGGGGGTCAGGGGAGAGGGTGTATTTATAGTGGTGTGGTGTTGCAAATGATAATTGATATGGAGTGTGAGAGGGGATGACACTATTTTATTTTTGTCTTCATGTTTTCTTATAATTTAAATTAGATAGAAAGATGGAGATCAGGAGAAAGAGAAGGAGAGATGGTAAATGATAGGTACCATATTTTCCAATTAAAATAATTACTTTTGCCCAATCCCATGACAAAGGTTGCACTTCCTTATAAATCACTCACCAATGCTAGTACACCTTGAAGGTTCTTATAACTATTGATTTTATTAGTGTAGGAAATAAGATTAATATATAGATCTACATCTTTTATTATTTACTGGTAAAGTGCACGTGGTGGTGAATGTATTTAGTCGATTAAGTTTGGTAAAATAAATTAATTAATTTATTAAACATGTTGTTGGAGGAACAACATGTTTTATTTGTTTTCTTTTTTTTTTCCACTGCATTACTATTGTTTTATTTGTTTTTAATTCTTTTCACAAATAATATTTTTATTTCTTGAAACATTAGAGCACATTTATATGTATTGAGTCATTTTTTTTACGTAATTTATATAATGACGTTGTAATTAAAATATCTTTAGTAACTAACTCATTTTCATATTTACAAAAAAATATATGTTACAACAATTATAATGTTCCCTTTCAAGCAGTAATTAAGTGATAGTTTAACATACAACTCATTTATTTATCCTTTTAATTCTCATAGTTAATATTGATAATAATTGTACGTTTACATCCATTTTATAAACAAGAACTCTAAAATGACAATTATTTTATAACGAGTGAAATAAACATATAAATCTATATATATCTAAAAAGGTTGATGTAAAAATCATTTTTAGAAACTTAAAATAAATTGAGTTGACTTTTGACTTTCTATTTATGTAATCTCAATCAAATTTTGAAAAGAAAATCGTGAATAAGATTTTGTAATTGGTATTCCCGTTAATTAAGTATCAGATCCCATTAATTAAGCAAATCTGTTACGAAAATACACAAATTCCGTCAATTAAGGCATTATATATTTCTCTTTTTTTAGGGATGGATATACCTTTAACGTGATAAGATATATACATGTGATTGCATATTTTGTTGTTGCATCCCAAAAATCATGCAATTTAATATCTATCCAAATACAATCCATAATTATCTTATCACTTTTGTTAATAAAAAATTGTATAAAAGGATATTCACTACCACCATTACAACTCATCATTCACGAGTTCAGAGAAAAAAAAATACAGAGAATAATTTTTCATCGCATATACAATATAATGCTTCCAGGCTGGGGTACAATTGATATATAATGCTTCCAGACTTGGGTACATTAACAAAAGAAACAAACCTTTTTTTTTGCGAGCAGTCCGCATTATTGAAACCCATCACGAACGGGGGAGCTATAACGCATTTTCATGATGAACAGGTAATATTTACCTTTGTTATTTCAATTTTATATAATTTAAAAAATTATTTTAATTAATATTTATAACAAACCTTTTTTGCGTCTGAGAGCAGTCCGCATTATTGAAACCCATCACGAACGGGAGAGAGCAGTCCGCATTATTGAAACCCATCACGAACGGGAGAGTTGTAACGCATTTTCATGATGAACAGGTAATATTTACCTTTGTTATTTCAATTTTATATAATTTAAAAAATTATTTTAATTAATATTTATAACAAACCTTTTTTGCGTCTGAGAGCAGTCCGCATTATTGAAACGCATGACGAGCAGTCCGCATTATTCAAACCCATCACGAACGGGAGAGCTGTAACGCATTTTCATGATGAACATGTAATATTTACCTTTGTTATTTCAATTTTATATAATTTAGAAAATTATTTTAATTAATATTTATAACAAATCTTTTTTTGCGTCTGAGAGCAGTCCGCATTATTGAAACCCATTGAAACCCATCACGAACAGAGCTGTAAGCATTTTCACGATGAACAGGTAATATTTACCTTTGTTATTTCAATTTTATATAATTTAGAAAATTATTTTAATTAATATTTATAAATTTGTATCGTAGGGTGCTTTCATTAAATGCATAATACGTTATCCGAATATGAGAGCAACAAATTTTATATAAACTGAGAGCAGTCTAATTTTTGTAAAATATGTAAACTTTAAACGTGTTTTATATATAGAATTTTATATACTTTTAAACATGTTAGTTGGGCAAATTTTAAGGATATATATATGTGTGTGCTAACTTTAAGTATATATATTTTTCTTATAAAATAGTCTAGACAAAATTGAGGTAATTTCACATTTTTCAATAATAATATAAAATATTTTAATACTTTCACATATGTTATTTAATAGTCTGCGTATTCTTAATGTCTTTTGGTTGTAACATTATTAACACATTTAATATTAGATACTTTTAAACATATTTAGATATTTTTTTTACTCATTCTTTAATATCTATGTGCATAAAAAGAAAATAAGATTTATAAAAAATTTTCCGGCAATATACTAAATGTTAGATAAAAATCTCATTTTATTTATTATATAATATTTCGAGTTGCATTAATTTTTACTAGTACGTAACCCGTGCGATGCACGAGATGTAAAATGTGGAAAAATAATATAATCTCACGTGCATTAGGATCAAAATTGAAATCATTAAAATACATAGGAACATTGTTGAATCATAAAAAGTTCGGTAACAATCATAAATTATTAAAAACCTCCTTGTACACAACATTATGAGTTTGATTATTTGGTAACTCCTCATTATCACAAACTAATATTTTCAACCCCCTTCTATTATTTACACGCGAAGCAGCAACATATAATTGGCCGTGACTAAAAACGGGTTTATTCAGGAAAAGACCAACGGGCGATAAAAAAAGAGTTTTTAAAAAAAGAGTTTTTAGAAATTGAAAAGTCAAGTCAATCAGTTCAGATTAATTAAAGGTCAAAGAATATCCGTTCCTTGAAATAAAGACGTGTGCTATCATTAACCAAATATCCGGTTATTGATATAGAGTGGTTATCAAAAAATAGAACGCGATAAGGACGCTTCATGGAAATATCAATAGGATAAGGTCATAACAGATCGCTATACATTTTAACGATAAAAGCTCATATAGAATGATTTAATTAGATGTGTGAAAAAGACATAATTAATGAGAAGTGTGAAAATAACATAATTAATGAGAAGTGTGAAAAGGACAAAAACTTACCGGTTTTGGAAAATATTTAATGCAAATCCGATATTGACCATAAATTGACCTACTATTTTTGATAAATGTTAATTCTTATTATATAAGTATAGATTTGTATGTGTAAAATTGATAAACTAAACGTATGAAAAGGAGCGTATGAATTACTGTAAGGATTTAAAAAATAAAAAATAAATCTAATTTTTGAATATTTTCTAAACGAATTTATGTCATAATTCGTCATAATATTTCCACATCATGTCAATATTTATTTTGTCTATACTAGGTAAATGGTAAATCATTACCTCAATATTTATTCTATATATTCTAAGTAAATCTTCTCATCTATCTCAACGGTCCGCAGGTAGTATTTCATACTTTTCTATTCATAATCAAATATACCAAACCTTCACAAATTTTACTTCACAAAGAAAGTGTTCAATAATTTATATTTTTTTTCCTTCTTTGCAATCCATTTATTTTTATTACATATATATAAATTATATTATTTTTATATTTCACACGTTAAACATTTCAGGAAAATATACCATCCCGTGCATCGCACGGGCTATGCGCTAGTTATACATCAAATGAATATATATCCTAAAATAAAAGAAAAAAATAATATTAATATTCAAAATTATTATTATACTAATCAACATTTTTTTATTAGTTTAATATATGCAATTTATAATTACAAGTTGACATAAAAGTGGGGAACGCATTAGAGTATTTTTTTTTATGAAACAGGGATAATGAAAAGAAAATAATAATTTGTAAGAGAGCACTTAAAGTTAAAAAATTCAATCATGTAATGGAGCACTTTGAGTAGAAAGTATATGATTTAACCCTGCAAGGACAGAACGTGGCCTTTAGTGTTAGGCATTGGGTTAATGGCAGCCCCATTTGAGGTTGACCTCATTTCATGCAATTTCAATTAGCTAGCTACTTGGGAAGATAATACTATTCACTAGTCACTACACAATTACATAATTTGCATTTATGTGGGTGGTGGTTAAGCACTAACTCAATCTTCTTTATTCTTTTCAATCCTCAAATCACTCCGCTAGTTATAATCATTCTTNTATTGGCTATTGATTTGATTTTACGAAGTACATTTGATACTTTCTTTATTGTTTTGAAAATTGAAAAATTTATTGTACCAAAAAAAAAAAAAAATTGAAAAATTTAGAATGTAACTTTTTTAAGAAAAATAAGAATATAAATCTTTTTCTTGGTTCCGCAGCACAAGCCGTGATTTATAGTTGCAATATTTTCCAAGTGCTGTAACAACATTGCGTGATTGTCGATTGAGCGGTAGTTTCTGATAATTTGAAATATTTATATTATATTTAGAGTTGGAATCACGAAGAATTTGTGAGCTTATATTTTAGTAAAACTTATTAATTCTTCTAACCAACACCGAAGAGAGATATTAATCACACTTGATTATACTTTGAATAAAAGATTCCTTTTAAAACATTTATAATATACTAATATAGTTCTTATTCAATGCGAGATATTAATCACTCTTGATATATTATACTTAATTTTAAATATAAAATTCATTTTAATACATTTATAATATAGTTCTTGTCGTTCTAGGAAGCTACAAACTAGTCAATCTTTCGTTGATCTTAAACAATACTTAATCGAGCCTTGGGTCAAATCAACTTTCACAGGCTATACAAACCAGTACTGAAACCTGAATTTTAAATTCCCAAATTGAATTTTGTTTGGGTTATTTTAAATATCCAATGAAAATGCCTTACATCATACTGACAAGCTTCTGGAGGTGAAAATTGCAAGGATCCCACAGAAGTAACTAATTATATATGCTTCAGTTAATTGATGATAAAAATTCGATTCAATCCTTTTTCATACTTTTAAGAATATTTCATGAAATTCGAAACCGATGTACGTAATTCATGTCATTCTTTAACATTTCAAATTGTCGTTTTA